TAGCAGAAGTACTAATTCTTGACATTCAGTAAATATATATGTGGTGATAACACCGTTTGATCAATGAGCACAGCAAAATGTCTGAAAAGGACCTAAAGAGGTGGATGCATAATTATAAATAAATTTTGTAGGCTACCTGCCGAGATTTGCATCTGCCTCTTTTCTCAGCATAAATGACCGTCGCAATTCTTGGCAGTCAGGCAAAACTCGACTTAACAACATGATGATGCAGTGAATATTGACGATTCTCTCAGACCAATCAGCAGTCTGACGTGTTTTCACGTAACATTTTAGTATCGCCTCAGTGCACTCAGAACCTTGACGGAGGTGATACTAAAAAAAGTATCTGGAAGCAGGTACAGGTACAATCTTTACACAGTGGAAAACCAAACCAAGGCGAGTGGAGTCGAGCTGGTACTGTGTAGTGGAAAAGGGGCTGTTATAATGTCTTATGGATGCATTATATCGTGTTATATGCATAAGTCATTATAGCGATGACCTTCATAGAAAGTTATTTGTTTTGTTGTCATACATGTGTCGGACCAATTAACAAACTATATGGACTGCATAGATGATATGACTCTATGTTTCTTGAAACAAAACTCGATGAACCAGGTTTAAGCAGCTGTATGGCCTGTATTTTTGCCTTAAATGGCTGTAGTGGACAAATATGAGGTTATGACAACAGCTGCCATGGTTTCTACTTTGACAGAAGAGTGACCTACAGCCCAGTAAGTGATGTATTTGGAAAGCCCCTGCAATGTTATTTAATCCAAAAATCTTATTCTTTAAGAACCAATTTCAGAAATCTACCAATGGTGTGAGATTATTTAATTTATTTCCAATATATCAACTTGTTTTCTTTCTTTCTTTTGGTGCTTGAGCGGTGATCAGCTTCTCTTTCTTCAAAATACAGGCACATTCCTGAAGAGAAACTAAACTTGCTACAGGTGGAATTATCTCTCCAATAATCTCACTATGTTCTTGTCTTATAAACTTCTAAACATACAAGTGAATGGCTTGTTAAAAAACAATTTTATACATATTTTGCAGTCTATATGAAGGACAGAAATGAGGTGTCCATTTTCAGCTGTCACAAAACCTTTAGTGCCATTGTACAGTTTTTGTAGCTATACAAATTGAAATAAAAGGATGGAGAGTAGTGAAAGGCAACTGCAGAGACAGAGGAACAGGGTCACACTGCTAAGGACATGACTTTAAAGGAGAACATGAACTAGAGCAGAGGGACCTGAAAGAAGCAGGGCAGAGCAGAAACT